GTATTTTGAGCAAAACACTTCATAGACATGTTTTTTATATATCTGAGACCTATGCTATTGCCTAAAAATAGCATGATAGGTGACCTTTTAATAGGAGGATGAGATTTAGGTCTTGTAGACACAAAGGGAAATCAGCAATAATCCCACATAACTGTACGTAAGATGTTAAAAGGATAGACTGGATCGTTACAAGGAAGTTTGTATGAGGTTCTCATCCATAGTCAGTGTATTACAATGTATTATACATTGCACAACAAAGATGTAGCTGGATTTATCGCTGTCTCTTTTTGCTCGTTTGTTTGTGTTATTGTGGATCTTTAGTGAATACAAACTAACCTTTTAAAACACCTAAAGTCCCACAGCAACATAAACAAAACCCATTGAGGCAGAGGTAGGCCAGATACTCAGTCTCATGTAAAGTAAAATTACTGGGGTTTACTTTTTTAAATGAGTGTGACGGCTTCATCGCGAGCATAGCCTTCAGTTCATCACTGGAAAAGGGTGTCTGACGGCTCAGGTGTAGAGGTGGAAATATACCTACCTCGTATAACCCCACAAAAATCCGAACTATCCCTTTAAACCAGAGGTTTAACCAGTAGTTGGCGGTTCTAGTGTTAACATACATTTAAATTAAATATATGTAATTGCAAATGCCATATATGATTTTCTAACCTAGAATTCTGCCTTTTTGAACAGACTTTTTGAGTCCTAGCTATATTGTCTGCAGTTCTAGGGTTAATATGAATCTAATATGATTGTCATCGGTCTAAATTAGATTTCAAATGATTAACTGTGTATGTAATGAAGATCACAGTGTGGGTTGAATCCATTTTCATAACCACTGTCTTTTAACTGATTTTAAATGTGGAAACTGGGCTTATTCATCAGAATTTTGTATGACTTGACTTGCTTGACCTGAGCAATGACTTGACTTGACTTGCTTGACTCTCATCACAGTGACTTAGGACTTGCTTGATACTTGTAGGTCAAAACTTGAGACTTGCACATGACTTGCACATGTAGGACTTACTCCCACCTCTGCTTTAAACTATAATCTAATAAAGTTGTATATTTGTGTTTTTGCACACAGCGACTCTTCAGGCTACCAGGACTGGACCTTCTCTACTGTGCGCTGCTGGGGAGAGGAGGCTGAAGGCCAGTACATCATCAAGATATCTGACCACAGTAAGACACAGTCACACAACTGACATGTCCCCATTTCTGTCATTTTGTTTCATTGTGACCTCATGTACACGTCCCCCCCCCCCTCCCTACTGACCCTTCTCTCTGCTTCTGTAGAGGAGCCATCCGTTGAGAAGTGTGCCTCTGTGGGGTTCTTGAAGCGGTGGCAGTTGACTCTGTATGGTTCCTCTATGACTTTCAGCGAGGTCAAGGAGAGGCAGAGGTAAGAACACGCTGCCATACAGTGTATGGACATCTTCAGTTTTGTTGAACGCCTGTTTGCCCTGGATTTGTGTTTTGTTTTTTATTCCCATTTGAAATCGTTGTAGCTACTGATTTGATTCAGAGAATTTTAATTGGCAAAATTCAGAAAGATGATTTTAAAATGTGTAAAATTCTGTCTTTTTAAAAAAAAATTTTTAAAAAGTATTCCAGTAATGTATGTTGCATGTTTTTAATTTGATTGTATTTACTTGTTTAAAATGAAATGTGTTTTAGGTTGACTTATAAAATATGTCCAGGGACTACAGATGAAAAATATCTTCTTGGCTAACTCTGGCACACTCAATGTTAATTAACTGTCCCTGTTAAATAAATACAATTTAAAATAAATGATCTGCTTGTTGATTGGCTGTTCATTGATTGACAGGCTGGTGGAAGAGGCTATGAGTGGAAAGTTTCTGGACAGCAGCTTCTCTCTGCCCTGCCCTCCAGGCCTGGACATCCCTCCAGAAATCATCAGCCCCTTCACCTCCAACAGCCTCAAGGTAAACCGTTCACTTTTAACCATCTTTCTCTTTAATATGAATGTCCTCACAGAATAAAACCAATAGTTCTGATACTGGGAAATTAAAAAATGTTCATACTGACTCACTATGTCAGACATGTCAGGAACACGCCTCATTACATTAAAGTTCAATTTCAGGATAATATGGAATTGCTAGCCCAACATTATTTATTTTTCCTTTTTTGTGGATATTATTTCAAAGGAACAGACGCCTTTTATTTAATGGCAGATCTAGACCTCAGATGTGTATGCTATATAACCATAACCTCTCATTTGAAACCTTATACATCTGAAATTGGGGGATAGACGCTGGCTGGCAAGAAGTTCTCCCTGCCAGTTACTTTGTGTTAAAAAAACAAACAAATAATGCTCACCTTCATTTAGGATTTGGATGTGAAATTTGACGTTGTGAGAGTAAAAGTGAATTAGGTCAACCCATGCAAAGAAGTATTAAAGTGTTTTGCCAACCTTATAGCAAAGATGAAAATCAATCCCATAGACCTTCAGTAATAGATCCCAGCTAAACCACACCAGAAAGGAATACTTAGGTCACATTCGCTCATCCATTTGACTTTCTAGTTTCCTCTTTTGTAACTGTTCTTTCTTTTTATCTTTAACCACATCATCCACACATGCATCCTTCAGTGATTTACGTTCTCGCTCCGTCTCTCTGTTTGTTTTATTTTCCAGTTCCTGCTGTTGCTGGGCTGCTTTGCTCTCTTCTGGTCGCTCTACTACACACTGGAGGTCACGCTGGCCCACATGGACCTCAGGGGCCTCCTCTGCCTGCGCAAGAGACGGGGCCAGGGCCACCGGGCCAGGGGGGGGCGCCGGGGGAGAGGAGGAGTGGAGGAGGCATTGCCAGAGGAGGAGGAAGTTAAGGTGGAAGAGGAGCAGGACTCCGGGGTGGAGTTGCATGCAGTGTTTGCATCCGAGACCCAAGTGCCGCTTTTAAATGGAGACTGGCCGGCAACATAGCATTGAGCCAAACAATGGGGCTATATCCCGTCTCTCTTTGCTCATTGGACGTCTCAGGCTCTCACTATCTTCTCCAAACATATTCAGCCTCTAGTCAACTGTATCTGTGGTGCTGTGCTGCAGATGGAGTTGACTGAGAAGTGGACCTTTTGTCTGTATTCTCCAAACACGTGGCCTTTTATGAAAATCTTACTTTGTGGCAATGTGAGTATGTGTTGGGCAGTGGGTGTTCTCGTGCACCTGTCATAATAACTAATGTCCTCTAAACATAAAAATGAAATAAGGACAATCCTTTTTAAAGTGGGGATATTAAGCCGGTCCTGGGGTTACATTTCCCATCAGGATTAGGTTTGGGTCAGGCATGAACTGGAGTGGGACCTTATATGGTTTAAAGGGACCATTTACTTCCAAGTTAAACGAAAAAACTGAAAAAGGTCTTGATGATTTAAGTAAATCAGGGCCGCGTTTTATTAAAATCGCAAAACTGTATCAGAACATCTGTTTACACACGTATTTAACCAGTATAGCTCACTACTTCTCAAACACAGCCACTTTTTGAAACCTGTTGAAACCCTCTGCTTAACAGTCTTCCCCTTGCACAGGCACATTACTCATTGTGCAAGTTGGAAATGTCTTAAATGCCGCCCCTTTTATATTTTCATCAAGACCTTTCTCTCTATCAGAACTCAAGGTAACACAGGGTGAGTCATTGATATAGTATTATAAGGTTGAAGTGTTCCTTTAACGTGTCAGTACAATTGCATGTTTGCATGCGTGAAAGGGTAAATACAGAATGGTCTGTGTACATGTGTTCCCATGGAAGAACTGAGCTTAGACGGGTGGGATTTACTTCTAGTGGGGGTAATCAAACCAAGAGAAAGATGGTTTGTTTAATTTTTTTTGATGTGCGCTATAGGAATGTACAAATATCGATATGTGTGTGAGTGTGTGCTGCCCCTGAGTGTGTTTGTACTGTGTGTATGTTGTGACATGAGCGGGTGTGTGTGTGTTCTGTGACATGAGCGGGTGTGTTTGTTATGGTCTTCCCTGGAAAAAGTTTCCTCAAATGTGAGGCTCCATGAGATTGCTGAGGAATTTTTTTTTTTTTTTTAATTCTGAGGTGTTATTTGATGTATTTTATTTTAAAGTCTTGGGTTATTATCTGCAGGTTATAACCAACTACTGATAAAAACTTGAAGTGGGATTTTCAAGTGTGGGATTTGTATAGGTATTTTTTTATGAAGTGTAATATATACACAATGTGTGCCTGCTGTACAGATATATATCAAGTGTGTTTAATGATTTATACACATTGTTTTGTAAGAATGTATTAAAGAGTTCTAATTTTATAATGTAAGGAGTGTTTGGAGGGAAACTGGAAGCTGTGTTTTGCTGTGCAAGTCACAGGTGATCTGAATGATAATAAAATACTTGATGGAAAATCTTCTGAGATTAATGTTTTGAACACAGGGAAAGACGTAGTAACACACTTTTTAGAATCAGTGATACTGATTATGATATAATATGGTTGTTTTCGATTTTGTGTTTAACAATACTAGTCTAAAATACATATAATGTAACATTTACAAATTGCAATTCCTAAAACCACACTGCAAGCATGCCCTAAATCTAAAACAAGTTAAAACTAAATTACATTAAGGCTGTATGACCTTTTTGGAACTGTGAAATCCCCAAAGTGGCATAACCTTAAACTACCAGAATCAAAACTTTATTTTTTTCAAAAGTCTGTTTTAAAACTTAGGTAACATATCTGTATTATCAAGAGTTTTTGGTGGCTCTCGTTACTTCTGTCTGTGAAGAGATCTCTTCTTAGCTGAACATTTTGCACAGACACAAGTGGATTTTATTTAGCATTGGTCACATGCCCAATACGAGCATGCAACTTGTATTTTCGGACACACTTTTAATAAATGTAGCTAGTCTTTGAAATAATAGTAGTAAAAAAAGATCCAGTGAGTGGTGACATGTCAATATTCCCATTATGCATCATTGTCAAATTGAATTACCCAGATTCACAAAGTCAATTCAGAAATGTATTTCAAAGTCATTATTTAATAAGACAATGTACAAAAAATATCGGCGCTGATACAGCAGGCATTGTGGTAAGTGGTAGGTAGGAACAATTAACAAGTAACAATATTGTAAATTATACCAAGTTAAGGTACGTCGTGGGTTCTGTTGTTATTCAATTTGGTAAGAATATCCCTTATGCAATCTATCTAAATACAGATGATTTCTTTGTGTTGGAATCCAGAACCAATGTTTCTAAAATCTAATAGAATACTTAATAATTATTATTTCCAACATGGTTTTGAGGCTATCAGAGATGACACAGTGGTCAGTTATCTGTAATATCAGTGCTGATTTATATTAGAAAGGAAAAGCCCAATGTTTGGCACATTGTCACTGTTTTGTTTTTACCACCAAGGCAATGCATCGGTCATTTTTCTGGTTACTATTTCCACTGAAGACTGCTAAGGTAGTACTGTTCCTAACTGCAGTGGAAGGACAAAGCATGGTGAACTCTGTGTAAACTAAAGTGTCAAGACCAGGAAGTCGAGGGTATCTGTTAGAGGGAAGCTAAAATCTAAAGCAGAAAGAAATGTAAGGTTAAAGGGGAGTTGTAGTGTACCGGTTAAACTAACAGGCTGTAAGAAGGTGTCAGGGGCTGAGGAGGTTAGGGGTATCTGGCTCAGTGGTTTTACATGATCTGCCGGGGTCTTCCATAGCTCATCCCTTCCTGACTGGCTCCCTGGTTGGACCCCATCTGTAGGCCAATCACGTTTTTGCCCGCCTTCATCTGGTCATCTGAGAAGTCTCGCTTGTTCTCCTGGGCTTTCCTGCAACACGTCATTGAAAATGTTTCGGAGTTAATACAGCTATACAGCTAATGGTAATTGGTGTTGGTTAGATCATGCATATGACACTCACTTGAAAAACCAGTTAGCCTCTCCTTTGTATGTGCCTTCTTCCTTAGTGATGGCCAAGCTGCCCAGAGCTGACAGAGTCCTCTGCACCGCCGCCAGGTCCTTACCTGTCCACACACACATAATGGATAGGATTAACACTAAATGAAATGTTGATTCAGCTTCTCACGCCGTGTTTGTTTTTCCTTGTTTGCTTCCATGACAAACCCAGGATAAACAAGACTGAGAAAATTCTCCAAAGGTTCATGTGAATGGGGTGCTCGTTAACAACAGCAAAACTGAATCAAAACATCTGTTTACAAACGTCTAAACAACTTGTGAGGTATAATCAAATTCTCATGTGTTCAGTTTTGTGCTCACTAAGTCCAAACACTTGCATGTCTGCCATATCCCCTGCTACTTAAATCACTTCCAAATATACAGTCTCGCACGTGCAGTGTTAAATCATTTTAAGCACATATGCATGTGTTTGAGAAATATTGATCATAGGACTGGATAAGTGAGACTTGGATTAGACTGCATAGATTATTTATTTTGCTGACTGATATTGTTGACAGTTTAATTTAATTGATCAATACTTTTCTCTGTTTCTTGATTCCTTGTTCAATGTGGAAGCATGCGAGTGAAACTAAGTTGTCTTCAATCATTTGAGATAACAAGGGGTGAGTAATTGATATAAAGAAGAATTTGAACCCAAGCCAAGTCTTGTCGCCTGGCATTAAATGTTTTTCATTAACCGAGGAATTAAGACAATGAACCCCCTCTTACCTTCCCAAAGGTCCACGGTCTGGAACATGTCAGTCTTGGTGACGCCATACTTCTCGGAAGCGTTGAGGAACTGGGAGATCTGCTCCATCTGTTTGAAGGCTGCGGGTGAGCTCGCAATCTTCTTCACTGGCTTGTCCCCGGTGAACAGAGAGTTAATCAGTTCACTAAGAACCTGAGGAGAACAGATAGAGTGACACAGGGTACAAAAAGAGGTAGACAAATAAGGGAAAGATAGGAAGGAGAGGCATTAAAAACATGAACCATAAGAACTAAAAAAAACATCTATTAAACCGTTGTGTTGCACTCACACATCCATCTTTCAGCCAGGTCTGGAAGCCAGTTTTGCCGGCCTCTGGCTTCCCCACCCCGGAGCCACACTGACGGCTGATCCACTCCACCAGGATCTGCTCCAGCTCAGGGTCGTACTTGCTGTCGATCTTATCCTGAACCTGCCGGCTCAGGCCGAAGGATGGACCTTTGTTAGCCATGCCGACTCCCTGAGAGAGCGTGAAAAAGAGGAAAGGTGGAGGGAGATCGGAGAGCAAGCCAGTGTGGAGGAGATGAAGAGATGAAGTAAAGAAGAGTCAAAGAAAAAATAAATATTATCTCTGGACATAGTATGAAAGTAAATGAGAGGATCAGCATTTGGATTCATCTCCCATCATGACAACTAACGGCATCATACAGACAGATGTTGTGAACTTACTGTATTTGTGTGCGTCATTGCAGTTTTACTGTCTTTTAGTCCAAAAAGCTTTTGCAATATAAACAATAGCCAGCACTCACATTCAATTGCAATAACATTTGAAGGTAGCCTGTAAGCACAAACATGCACAGATGTAAAATAATAATAATAACCCTAACCCACACACAGATATCATTTTATAATGTACTGTAGTATACACTTATACATGACATGCATGTCAAAGCGTGTATTTAAGCATAAATGCCCAGCACCTATTTTAATCACCGCTCCCAGAACGTTTGCATTTACAGCGTTTTGTCTCCTAATACACACCATTTAGCCCATCAGGACCTGTGTCTGAGGCAAAGTGGTGTACAATGGGAGCACTATATCAGCCAGCTGATTTTGTTTTGCATATATTCTTATTTGTGCCTTAACAAACACACACTCACATACCACACACACACTCTCTCTAGCTCTCTCTTTGTCTCTGTTAACACAATAATTATTGCGAGCACTTTTTTTTTGTCTTATGCTTCTGTAAGCCTTTGGCCAAAAGCCAAGTGTAGCAAAGCCCAATGAACGTGCTGTCTGCACCACCCAACCTTTGTTGCCATCTTGATGTCAGGTCACTTCAACTTGTTCCTGAGGAGGTTAAAGTTCAAATGTCAAAGGTTAAACCCAGGAGCTGACTGGAAGACACTCATCTTGGATGGATAAGAGTGAACCCTTGCTGAGTCTTTTCTGTTGGTGTCAGGATGTTTCCAATCGGCCTAAACAGACTTTGCAAACAAATGACAATCTCGGCCAAGACTGGACTGATGTAGGACAAATATTTAAATTAAGAACTGTTCTCTCATATTGCCAGAATACAAACTCAACTGAAGAAAAATATGAATCATTGTTTTTGCTCAATGTCTTAATCATGCTCTTTATTCAGCATGTTGATATGTCACACCTGTCAGTATGACATTTAAAGATGGGTTTATGTCCACCAGCAGATGTATGTATACTTTTTTCCAAAACTGCAAATAGATATACTGCATGTGAGAGTTTGCATGCCAACGACATTAATGGATTCCTGCCCAGTGTTCGCTGAGCCTTACCACCAACCCTGTTTTAATATTCCTCACATTCCTTGTGGTGCTTTTCCAGGCCGCAAAAAACCAAACACACATGCTGGGCACCACGCTCACTTACACTCAACCGCTCAGAAGTTCAGATACATTATCTTCATCTGTCTGCCTTTAGCTCTGACTTGTACACACACACTCGTACCCCTTGCTTTTTCCCACTGACATGCGTCATTTTATAATCATTATTACAGAGTAATGTTTGTCTGGTATGCCGTTAACTTTTTGCCATTGGCTTGTAGTTCCTGGCCTTATAAACTTCTCTCTGGACCACAATTGGGAATAACACACACTACACTCTTTGTAGGGAAAAAAATAGAAGTTATGTCCACCACAATGTGCACTCAATGCCTTCTCGTGTCTTGAGAAGAGAAGAGAAGGGAAGAGAAGAAAATGGAAGAAAATAAATGAAATGAGGAGAGAAGAGACGAGAAGATTGTATTTCCCCTATAACTTATGTCCTGTGTGCAGTCAGTGTATGACAACCGTACAAACATCTCATAATATTTTAAGAGGTCAAGTCCGTGAGGGCCTCTATTTCTGGTATTCATGTGTATCTAGGGACCTGTTGTTATCCTTGGGACCCGGCCCAGGACCAATAACTCTGTCTGCTAAACAAGCTTCTGTGCTATCTGGCTGCTTCTCCTTGAACATTTAACTCACTGTTCACTTGGCATTTCATATAACCCTAACTATAACTGCTTTTTTGAATAGTCTACAGCCTGATCTATCAACTTTTCATACACTTTACACAATTATTAGGTCCTGCTAGAAGTCATACAAATATCCCTGCTGATGCTAATACTTCTTGTCATACAGCATCAACAGCAATCATTCTAAACAAATCTAACTTTCCGTGCATAAAAAGAAAGTCTGTACGATCATAAAGCAAATGCCGTGTTGTAGTACTTTTTGCAGTTTTAATCGATTAATACTTCTGATGTACCATTCTGAATTACGATAAAGTTAAAACCATGAATAATAACATTACAAAAAGCGAAAAGACTATAAAACAAAAAGGAACAAAAGCTAAATTAAGACAGCTTAAAATGCTTTATCCCACAAACATGACTTCATCTCCTCCGTCCTTCCATCCGTATATCTGTCTCAGCTGTGTTTCTGCTCTGTTTCTCTATCACCATGGTAAATCTGTCTAATGCCAGAACAGGAAACCAGTGTGAGGGCTGTGGCGACTGCGGCCGCCGGAGAGGACATGGCGTCATGCCGCCTCCCCTCCTCTTCAGTTAACTAGCTAACCACCACATGATGAATTGGTAGAGGTCAGAGTTTGTTATAAAGCAGCTGGATTCTTGGCTAAATGGAAAACAATGCATCAGTGTTAATGTATTTGCAGTCCTCTGGTTGAAGGATGCCCTTTCTGCAACTGACAAACTGAACATCCTTTTCTTACATGGCTATATAATGCTTTCCTTTCCAGACTTTTATGAGCATTGAAAGCATTTTCTGAAATTGCTGACCCTTTATGATTCGGAACATTCTGACAGACTTTAGATCTGCTGTGTGTCTGAGCTGATGTTTTTCTCCTGACTCTGAAAAGAGTGCTTTAAGCAGATGTGGTTAGTTCCTGGTCGTTTAAACCATTATGTTCTGCTGTGTTTATGTGCTGCAACCTGATTGGCAGAGGAGATAGTGTTATCTGCTGCTTAGAAGCTGAACTGCCCCCTGGGACGTCCTGCACGTTACTGCTGGACTGGTTTGACTGGAATCACTGGGTGTGCTGCCATCCTTACCAGTAAGTCTTTATCCATACAAGTCCCCATGAACACAAAGTGAAAGTTTGGAGTTTACATGTCTTGAGTTGAGATACTGTATTTCTGTGTGACTGATTATAAAATATGTAGTTAATAGATGCATCTCTGTGCTCAGTATGCAGTTACCTTTCATGCCTTGTGGATTCACAGGCCTCCAAAGCCTGTGCATGGATGTGTGGGAGTATCATTTGCTTGTACAAATAAAAAGTATGTGCACTGCATGCAGAGATATGCATCGCTGTCTGGCTCACCTCTCTGCTTCTCCTCCCCTCACATCCAAATCATATTTAGGAGACATGGTGGCAATGACACAATCAGGGTTTTTGTGTTATTGTGACAATCCCAGTATTTTAAAAGATGATTATTATGAAACTTAACAAGAGAACAGTACTTGATTGATCCTATGAAACCAACTCAATAAATACATTTGAGGAACTTGAGGAAAATTCAAACAGAAATATCTTAAACAATTTTCACAACCAAAATCTGCAGCATGAATTTCAAAGTCAAGGTATTTACACATTGATCTTTGGATGTCTACAATGCCCTTCTTTTTTTAAATGATCTTACATATAAAACACAGAAGACAAAGGACACGCATATTTAGGATAAATAACTAGATAGTCCTCAAAACTACCGACTAAAAAATAGAGCGATGGCCTCTTCCCATTTGCCATCTTCTCAAACTAACTGTCCCAAATCCAGTTCAAGAGCTTTTTGGAGGAATAAAATAAAAGTATACTCACTGTGTGAAGGAATAGGTCAGTTGTCTGCTGGCTACTAGTGCAGCGTGTTGGGACGAGTGAGGATGCTTGACTGAGTGTTTGTATATGCGTCGTAGGGACCTCCCTCTCAAAAATGACGGCTTAAAAGGAGCAGATGAGGAAAGATGACTTCACTAGTCTACCAAGAGAGGGAGGGAGGGTGGGAGGGAGGGAGGGAGGGAGGGAGGAGGAGGTAGTGAACGTGAAGGAGAAATAGGAGGGAGTGAGGGTGAGGAAAAAAAGGAAACTTAATCCTTAAAAGGGCATGGCCTTTCAGCAGCTCCCTCTCTCTGTCTGTGCGTCTCCTCCCCTCACGTCTGGTTAAAAAGCCCAGCCTTATTTGGGTAGAGCTGTTCCATGTAGATCAGAGACAGCAGCCAGGCGTTGGTTTGGTCAGCAGGAATTCTCCAAATACTTTTGCCACATCCCTCCTCTGTCAAAGTTGTAGCAAGATGGTGAGGTGGAGGATTGAGGCTGATGGGAAGGGAGAAAGGGAGGAGTAGAGACGGAGAGAGAAGTAATAGGACTTTACAAAAAAAGTACAAGGACTTTACAAAAAACGAGGACAAGGATGTGGACAAAAGAATGAAGGCGTTGGTCCTATCCCACTGTAAGGAAGGAATTATGTAAAATATGACTTTGTGTTTAGAGATGTTTGCATACCAATGGAAGATAATAGGAGAGGAGATGGGAGAACGAAGGAGAAAAGAAGATGAAGACTAAGGAGAGGAAAGGAAATGAGAAGGAGAAGATGAAACACGAGAGGAGCGAATGAACCAATGAAAGGAAGAGAGAGAAGGATAGGAGAGGAGACTGATGGGTTAAGGAAAAAAAGAACTCTGTAGACAAAAGGGATGTAAAGGGGAGAAAGAAGGGAGAGAGGAGAGGAGACGAAGGGGGTGAGAAAGATGGGAGTGAGGAGGAAATTGTCATCATAATTCAGGCAGAGAACTCCTTGTAAGTCCTGGACCTCCACCTTTTGTGTGTGTGTGTGTGTGTGTGTGTGTGTGTGTGTGTGTGTGTGTGTGTGTGTGTGTGTGTGTGTGTGTGTGTGTGTGTGTGTGTGTGTGTGTGTGTGTGTGTGTGTGTATATACCACGCCACCACCACTTATGACATTTTTGTTCCATACCAGTCACTTTTGGGCAGTCCTGTTTGAATGAGAGAGGTGTTGATCATATGCTCATAGATGCAGTTGGCTTCACTCCTTTAGTGGAAAGCTAGAAGCTGAATTGATCGCTCTCAGGAGGACAACATTGTATGTAACAACTGTTATTTAAACACTCACTTTTTAGCACACAAACACAAACCAATCTGTAATACTGGCCATTTCATTTAATTTCAAACCTTTATTTATCCAGGTGTATCCCATTGAGATCATTGATCTCTTTTTCAAGGGAGACCTGCTCAAGTAGGTTCTACATAAATCATAAAAACATAAACAGAACAACAAAAAGGACATCATACAGCATCATTACAGGGATTACAATTTACAATATCTATCCACATGAGCAGGTACCAACAGCTTCCGATTGAGTAGCATCCAACCGAGCTTTAAAAACATTTAGTGGCACCAGATTGCTCAGTTTCCATTTCAATTGCAGACTATTCCAAGACAGAGGAGCTGCGCAACTAAAAGCTATCTTCCCTAAGACAGTCCTAGCAGTTGGCACATTTAATAAAACCACAGCATTTGATCTCAGGCAGTAGCCACTTACAATTCACCGTGAGATCAGGGAGCAGATATAAGATGGAAGTTTCCCTAACATGGCTTTGTATATAAAAATGTACCAGTGACTGAGCCTCCGTACAGTTAGTGAAAGTAAACCTGCCCTTGCATACAGGGTACAGTGATGGGTTAATGCTTTACAGTTTGTCACAAATCTCAGTGCACTGTGATACGCAGCATCTAACTTGACCAGGCAATTGGCAGGTGCATTCATATAAATCAAATCACCATAGTCCACCACAGGTAAAAAGGTCACAGTGATACACATCCTTATTCCTTTGTGATATTAAAAAAACAACCTGGCCAAAACCACAAAATGTTTAGCTTGTTTTGTTTCTGTGATATCCCATATGGCTGAGGTCATCTTATTAAATCCTGCTTTAATAAAGTAAATTATACAAAATAATAAGGAAGAATTTGGTACTCATTATATGTTTTCCAATTATGCAACTGATTTGCTCTAGATAACAAACACAGGAAATTATATTCTTCCTGGATTATGTTTTATACTAACATAATGAAATGTTCTTCCAGTCCGACAAAACATTTTAATATTTAACATAAGTTAAATGTTCATCGATCGATTTCATTTGTATTATTATTCCAAATTATTAAACCTCAAAGCTTATGTTTAGGCCTCCATAACGTTTGGTTGGGGAAAGATGTTGGTCATGAAAACAAGTCACAGTGTCTTCAAGTAACTTTGATCACATCATTTTTCTTAAGTGATATCAATACTGTACTTAAAAGTGTGTAATACTTTAGGATATGAACAATGGATCTCTTTAAATTGTTATTGATTTTTTGTGTTTTTCCTGGTGAATGAAAGTGTTGTTCACAACCAAACACCTTACAAAGCATTCAACAGTTTGACTGAGTAATGGTTTATTCGTGAGCATATATTTAAATAGTTAGGGAACAATTATATTATTAATGTCAAAGGCCTTTTATTGCTGATCCAGCTAGTCAGACCATGATATGTGTTAGAGCTAACATTCATTTTATTGCCACTATAAATAGAAAGCAAAACTGAAATAGTTCATCATAATTGGGACGACCCCTCCTTTTACATGTTGGTGCTTTACCACTCACATAGTTGTCAGTCAAAATATAAGGTTACAGTCAGCAGGTGGTTATCTTAGCATAAAGACTGGAACAAGATAATAACACAATCCACCACCTAGGCTCAGGCTCACCTGGCCATAGCTATTTATTTACATAACGGACAGATATGGGAAGTATCAATCATCTTACTCTGAGCAAGAGAGCATGGACCCACAAGCCAGTGCTTCCTCACACCTCAGAAGATTCCTACAGAAATGACTGGCATGTCTTAACTCTCATAGTGTGTGTGCCTGTGTGTGTGCAGCATGTGTGTGAGCTACATCATGTGTTTATCCAACTGAAGGAATTTACTTGGTCTGGCATGTGGTTCCATTAAAGGCGTTTGTTTACAGTGTTTCGCGATATTGTCATGTAGGTCAAACGCTAGCAGAAGCGTTATGACTCTATTATCATTCCCTAATTTTGTCAAAGTCTTGACTGCTACCGATTTCCATTCATGGCCCCTGTCTCTCTCTCAAATGAACCCCCCTCTCTCTCTTTCTCTCTCCTCCGCTCCAATGAGGAGGCTCCGTTCGCGTCACAGGTCATCCTCTTCTCTCTCTCTTCCTCTCTCTCTCTCTCTCTCTCTCTCTCTCTCTCTCTCTCTCTCTCTCTCTCTCTCTCTCTCTCTCTCTCTCTCTCGATTAGTTCAATTCAATTTGGAATGGATGTTTATTTTATTTTCAGTGAAACTTCATTATTCAGCAATATGTAATTTAACTTTTGCAATAATGTGACTTAAACTGATAAACCAAATAGATAGATCAATAAGAAATTTGAAAATAAAATAACATCACGCTTCAAATAAACTTTTATTATTTCCAAATCAAAACAAAGTCACACTTCTTCTGCACACAGAATTATATTGTAGTGTTGGTTATTGCCAGGCATTCTCAGATATATTTTTTAATGGATTCAAACATTTCTCTTTTCATGCTATCATAAATCTTAAATGCCTAAATACAAATGCACACATCAAAGTGTGAACGTCTTTTCCTGTTCACCTAAAATGTTCTAATTTAAGGTCCAGGAGTCTGACATAATGTAATATTCATACATATCAATGTAAGGGTTGGTGTGGGGGTACAGCATGTAACCAGTAAAGATATTTTCTGCGAGGAATTTACAGAGCTTTCTCCCGGACATCAGCTCAATGTACACCTGATCACCTCTCTGCAGCTCCAGCACCACGTTCTGAAAGTATACACAATACAAAGATTAACAAAGCCAGTGCAAAATCTTGATGTATTATTGTAATATTTGATCACCCGTTATTGCTTCTCTCTTTTTCACTTCTTACCTGGTTAGCATTGTCCTCAGAGTCTTGTCGATTGTTCTCCCACACGCCGACTATCCGTTCTCCATTCTTCATCAGTTGTACCTAAAGACACAACGAAACATTAAAGGTCCCCTACTATACTGTTTTTCATCAATATATTATAGGTCTCAGTTATATACAAAACATGTCTCTGAAGTGTTTGGCTTGAAATACCCAACAGATCATGGCAGCATCCCATAATCCCCTCTGTTTCAGCCCCAAGTGCTGATTCTGTGTCTGTTACTTTAGATGAAAATAAGGAGCCCCTCCCCACGCCCCTCTGCGAGATATTTGGTTAAAAAGAACACAATGGTGCTCTAGGAGGAGATTCAGGTGATAAGGTGGGGGGGGTTACCTTGGTTGGTGATTGGCTAATGGTTACACAAGCCAAAACATCGTTATGACATCATAAAGTGGGCAAAATCTGATCAGCTCATTTTCAGACAGGTTTTTATAGAAATGGATCAGGACAAAAAGTGAGCGAATCTTTTTTCTGAAACTTTCAGAATCTCTTTGCACATGTTGATGTATAAAAGACATGAAGAAGAGGGGACACATGTTGATGTATAAAAGACATGAAAAAGTGGATTTTGCACAATAGGTGACCTTTAAGTTACAAATGACTTGCTGCTGCTTTTTGAGTAAATCAGCAGAAGTTGTTCAGAAATCCTGTATTTGTTCAATCGTTTGTGTTGGGCTTACTTGATAGTACAGACGCCCATTCTCTTGAGAGAAGACTGAGAAGGAGAAGACGTAAACACCAGCAGAAGGGGCCGTGAAGACACCTGGAGACGGAGGAAAATAGTTGGTGTAACTGCAATTATGAATGCTTTACACACTTTCATTGAGAATGATATAGTGAACGCCTTCATGTGTGTATGCATGTGATTCCTACCCAAGGCAGGGTTGTATCCATTGTTATGGTTAAGAGTGACATGGTTGTATGGGATTGGCACGTTAGTATTGAAAGGACCAAAGCAGGCGTCACTAGATCCAGGAGCAGTTGA